AGAGAGAGAGAGAGAGAGAGAGAGAGAGAGAGAGAGCTGGATTCGCTACTTTCATTCGGCTCACTGAGGTTTCAACTCGCGACACAAGCGGCTGTCCGTCACTCTCACCTGCTGAAAATGATCCTCAAATTCACCTGTCTGCTGGGATTGCTGCTCTGCGGCTGTCAAGGTAAACAAATCAACATTCACACATCTGAGTGCGCGGTCAAACAGCGGGCATAAGTTGGGCAGCTTCGGCTCTGGGTGTCCTCGGTACGACTGAGGGGACAATGGGTGGTTTTGGGTGTTACATGGATGGACACTGGCTAGAAGACAACGGTTGTGCTGCTATTTCAGCGAGAAGATCCTGTGAGGAGAATAAATGCGTGCCATGGTGTTTACTGTTGATTCCTTGGCGATAATTTATGATTGGCACATGATGTGTGTGGTTAACGCGCGGTGGAAAACATCAATGTTATCAGATTTTAGCTGATCGGATGTTATGCAATATGATTTATTTTGTTAACACAGCGATCAATGCTACTGTAAAAGAAAATAATCCGCCCGTAATCAGTGCGTTATTATGTCCCCTCATACTTTTAACCGCGCGCTTGTCGTTATCCTCATAATTTGATTGATTTATATGTGTTGGTCCAGCCCGTTTTTATCTGTCTCTTGTAACTTGATGGATTTATTCATAAGAATGCGCGCTGTATTATAATGGTTGTAAAGTCCGAGGAACGCTTATTAAATCCTGGCACGCGCGTTTGGAGGTGACACTTCATCGCGTTTATTTACAACGCGTCTGATTTATTTCAAAAGCTGTTTGTTGGTTTCTGTGGACCGTGTGCATCAGTGACTGAGAGTTTCAACGCTCCTCTTATAACGAACGAAGGTGATCAGAACGCCCTCCTTTATTAAAACATTTGGGTTTCTTCTCCACTTCGCGCGTTTGTACGACAGCTTCGTTCATTATAACGCTCGCGATCTAGATTGGTGTCTCTGGCAGAACGACAGGTGGAGGTAGAGCGCTGTTTAGTCCTCAGTCCTTTGCGCTTCAAGTGCATAAGCATCTCTGTTCACCACCATCCGGATCTTACTATGGGGAAATCTTTGGGAACAAGCATTGGGGATTTCTTTAAATTAGTCTTTGGGTTACTGCCTGTCTTATTCTGTTTAGTTCTAGTTATTAGGCAGGGTGACAAATGAACTGTTTTGCTGAATGAAGAGTTTTACCAGCCTTTGTTCTTTTTTAAGTGCATGCAATAGCTTGCCTTGTCTATGAAATTAAACCACTGTTGTTTAGGCCCCTAAAGCTATTTATATAATAGATTTTTTGTAAGCTGTTTTAATGCTGGAAATCTCATCTATTGGATGTGTTCAACTTGCATGCAACTATTAAGATGTGCATTTGAAATGCATATTTCATTCTATTGTGCAGTGCCAAAGCAACTGGACATCTTGCCTTTTTTGGAGTATTTTTGAAGACTGTTGCTTGAAATATAATCAGTGCTACTTGTTTATTGTCAGCAGCCGATCTGACATGATGTTGCTCATCACAGCAGATGTAAGATAAGGAAAAATTGTGAAAAATACCCATCTTTGGCTGGTGGCGAGTGCGTTAAAATGATACTGAACATTTCAGAAATGCATTGTGT